CCCCAAAACCCCAAAACCCCAAAACCCCAAAACCCCAATATTTAACCTAAAATAGAAACACATTTTATAAAATTAATTCTAATAAATGGAAGAGACTAAATATCCGCAATCGGACTCCCAGATGTCAGAAGACATTAGCGATAGAAGAGATACTCCAAAGTTAGAATTCTGTAACAATTTCTCAGAAATTGTCTGTGATACAGTCAGTCTTAAGAGCAAGGCAGCAAATAGTAAGACTGAGTTGATTAAGAGACAGGATAAATCTGAATTCAAACACACTAAAGATAAGTGGACAAAGGTCTTTAGTCTAAACTCCAACGCTTGCTTATGCTTATCTATTCAAGGAGAAGTAGTAGAAATGACTATCAAGAACTTGTTCCATAATGCTGCTCTGAAGAACCACGAAGCCCTAAAGCAAAGATATTCTGTAGCACAAAAACAAGTTTCCCAGACAAAGAAGTATCTTGATCACAGTAGTGATTTACTCCATCAAGCTGTCTTACAGAAGATTGAAAGCTCGAGCTCTCTCCACAGCGGAGATGAATTTGCTTTATATTACTGTTCGGATGATTTTAAAGTAATTTACTGTGTCAGGTTCTTTGTCTCAGATACAGTTCTTGAGCCTCAGGAGTTCAAACAAGCTATCACTGAAGATTACTCCTCCATAAATAGTTTCTCTGTATCTTACGATCCAATTGCAAACACTAATACTTTCTTTTTCTCCTCTAAAGAGTTCAATGGAGTGTTAGTGTCTTACCCTGTATCTTTTGGTAGAAAGGAGACAAACACCAGGATTAATTTTTCCCACATTCTTGGCCAAAGCAATATGATTACATCCGGGATTACTTCCCTCTTCAATGGAGTTACCAAAAGAATAGGCAGAAATGGAGGAGATAACAGCAATTGTCTCAAACTAGAGTAAGTCTAGACAAGTTAACCCAATTTAGAACCCTCAGTGAAAACCTTGTCTGTGGTGTCTGGTCTAACGGAATAATCAGGATCTACTATAAAAGAGAATGCTTACTTGAAGAAATCATGTTCAAGGATGGAATTTTAGAGGGCCCACATATTTCAGAAGCTATACTCTCATCATGTGCTTACCCAATCGATTCTGATGAAGATGGAGAAGTTTCCCTCCACTTTTATATCTCCACAAGTGTTGTTTTGGATAGTAACAGGACTATTGTCAAAGTTTTTGACCTTGAGTTTTGAGAGTTCCAGGCTAACTTTGAATCCCAAAGAATTGATTATAAAAATGACTGCAAGGGATATCTGAGCAACATCTTCACACATACTGAATATTCAAATAAAAGGATTGTTGATGTCCAGATGTTGGAGGACTCATTATGGTGATACTCTTATGAACTCCAGAACTCTAGTAAAGGATCAAGTGCGGGAGGATCAACTGCCATGCCTTTCAGGAGTTATATTTATAAATTTGCAGTCACTAAAGGTTTGCTAGGGAAGGACAGTACTTTAAAATGTCTCAGGAATTCAGTGTGGAGTATTAATGACCAACTCCTTCTTGAAAAAATTGAAGATAAAGAGAATATCCATTCTTCTATAATGAACAACAGGGTAATTAAATCAAGATACCTCAGAAGATTTGGAGGAGATTATGTTGAGAATATTCCTATCTCAATCCTATCTTCAGACACAAAATTTAAACAGTAATAAATTATCACTAATTTATAGGAGACTTCAATCTTTAAAAGATGAAAACCTTGATAACCTTGAGTTGGTAAGGACTGAGCACTACGAAGAAGAACATAAAGTTATGAAGCCAGTTTCAATGTCTATCATCCAACTTGGAAAGTATGACAAAGTGCCTTTGGTTGTTAGAGAAGACTCTATTTCAATCCTCAAGAGAAACAGCAAATTCACATCCTATTCAAAGTACATCAACAAGAATGTTGTTGACATTCAGCTTGCTTATGAGAAGAATCCATTAAAATGAATGCAAAATATTGTCAAAAATTTTAAGCAGAAGACCAAGAGAGAACTAGCCCTCTCCTTTATCTCAATTTTCAAAGCAGTCTACTCTGAGTTCATCGTGAGAGTTGAGAAGAGACTTGAGCAAGGAACAGGATTCCCAAAAAGCATTTATGAGATCCCATCGCAAAGCATCAAGTTTGATGTATTGAAGTTAATGAGAAGCCAACTCTCCAAATCTGGACATACTATCTTCCAGCAATGTCTTAAGATGCTCAGAGAAATCAGCGAATTAATTCAGAATGGATACAATGGCAAAAACCAGAACTCAGTCATGGTCGAGCTGACTCCTTTCTACACTGAGATGATAGCAAATTCATTAAAGATTGAAATTAATGGAGTTTATGAATTCATGAGAGACCTCCTTTGGTTCTCAAACTGGATGATCATCAATGACCTTGATCTCAAGAGAAGCGGACTCAAAATAAATGAAGAAGACACTCATCAGTCTCTTCACCAAAGAAATCGTCAAGATATAAAAGATTCTGAGGTTCTTCTGTCTGCTCTTTTATCTTTAAAAATTAGCACACATAGCTTACTTGCACATCAGGATAGATTAAATGAAAATTTAAAATATACACTTTTTAGTAAAACTGATGTGGACAAACATATTGGGCTGAACAATGTGATGCCTTTCTTCATCTCAAGATTCTCTGAGAATATTCTTTCAACCCAACTTGAGAGTATTTCATCAATGCAGGATATCTTTGATGTAGTTATCACCAAGTTCTTCCAAATTGGGTTCTTTGTGCCTGATCAAGCTCCTCCTACATATATTCCTCTCTTGTTACAACAATTGCTTCATATGAAGGAATTTGACATTCTTGAAAGAGCAATTGATTGTTTGAAGGAGAAACCACCAGCCTTGAGCTTTGCACTAGCAATTAGTAAAGCACACAGAGGACAGACAGAGCAGTTTGTCAAATACTTCTGCCAAGGAATCACTGCAGTTTCAATTCAAGATTCTGGAGAGGAAGCTGTAATTAAGGAACAAATTTTCACTCAGAAAGAGACCGATCCTGAATTCCTTGACCTTATCAAAAATTGCAATAATCCAGCATTAGTCTTTGCCAAGAGCTGCCTAGATCAAATTGATGAAGCTGATACAAAGACTTTGTTCCAAGGAATCCAAACTGGGCTTCATTTTGCATATAACCCTAAAGATTCTAACGAAAGAGCAATAGTTGACCTCCTATGGACCAAACTTTACTCTCTATGAAGAAAAGAGAAGGATGTAGAAGTAGCATTCGCAGCAGCAACTTCTATCAGTGATGAAAAGAGAAGAGAATCAGCACTCGGAGGCCTGATAGAGGATCTGATAGTTAATGATAACCTTAAGACACTCTTCAGCTGCAGGCTAAGCAATAAGAACTTGGCTATTGGATCTAGTTATTTGAGAAAGAAAATGAATGAAAGTCTCACAAAGGTGTACCAGAATGATGACAACCAAGAGCAACCAGAATTTTTCAATGCAGATAGAGTATTCCTAAAGATCCTCAGAGCCTTCCATTCGTTACATTGCTTCTACAACAAAGCAAGGGAGTCATGAATTTATATGCTTAGGCTTTACTACGAACTACAGCCTTACAAGTACAATAAGCATATCAATATCCACAGAATTCTAGAAATCGAAAAGCATTTGCTCACCTTGATTTTGACTGAGACAAAGAGCTTCGAGAATGCTGACAGGTATAACTTCTACATCAAAGAAAATGACATCTACAAGCCTGAAAGAAAGAGAGACAGAGATGAAGAAATGGATTATGAGCAATCTGATATTGAACTAACTAGAGAAATAGCACGAAAATTATTTGCAGCAAATACTTCTGATTCTAAATACATAGTAAAGCTCAGAGATATTGAAGCCTACCAAGCTATTAATGAAGCACAAGTCAAGTTATTCAATAGATGTGGAGAACTTATTGAAGAGCTTGATGAAATTATTGACTTCTGAGTTTTCTTTAATTGGTTCGACCTTGCTATTCATGTTTCTGACAAAAATAGAATCGATCCCACTTTCATTGCCCAACAGATGGGATACCAATACTGACTAAAGAGAAATGAGCAAAATGATGAAATTGTAGAAGAGTTCAAATTTGAGGACGCTCATTTCCAATGGAAGGTAGACGAGATTGACTTAGAAAACTCTGAAGCTGAAATACTTTTAGAACAAATAATCCAGACTCTAGACTATACTCAGTTTAGATACCCTCATCTTCGCACCGAAGTTCTCAAGGTAATTACTGAAAATCTTGAAGAAATCAGACAAGAAGAAAAGGATGCAATTCTCAATTCCATCGGAAAAGGAATCGAGATTGAAGGATATTATGACATCAATTTGGTACTGAGAAAAATCTTAAAAAGTTAATCATAATCTGCTTTTCAATACTCTTTAGTTCCTCTGGGGTTTTGGGGTTTTGGGGTTTTGGGGTTTTGGGGTTTTGGGGTTTTGGGG